GGATGACTGGTTGTGTAAAGCGCTTTGGGGTCCTTAGGGACTAGTAAAGCGCTATACAAATACAGGCCATTTACTTATTCTGAAGTACGATTCCACCATCTCATCTACACTTTCAGTTTGTCTTGAAACCTCTGTAATCTCCGTCTACGTTTTTCTCAAAATAGAATTTCAGGTTTAATCTCAAAATTTCTACTTTATTCTCAATAATATTTTTTTTTGTTGTAGATGACTGAGATGCACGGGCTGAGATAAGAGAACTGTAAGTGCCCCAACTTAAAAGTACCTAAACTTTTAGGTTGCGGCTTTAAGGAAATGATTGTTCCTGAACATCGATGTTTAGGGGAGGGGAAAAAGCCAGAAATCAGCTTGGGTCCTGTGGACTTTACAATTGATTCCTTAATTAAAAAGTTCCTCATCATTTCTCAACGAGGAAACATGTCTTCTAATCATTTAAGACTAAAAACACAAAATAAAAATGTAATAATTAAATAACAAACAAGTAATAATAATAATAATAATAATCATTTCTTATACAGAACCTTTTAAACAAAGTTATAAAAGCGCTTTACAGAAAGACATTTTAAAAATAAAATCACAGAAAAGGCTGGTCTTTAAAAAAAAAACCTATAAGAACAAAACAAAGAACACGAAATAAAAATGAAAAATAATTATTAAAAAGTCTTTTTGTTAAAGAAAAATGTAAGAAGAGACTTAAAGTAGTTAAAGTAGTTGAATTCTTAGATTGCACAAAGACAACATAGGTTTAAAAACTACTCCATTATGGCATTCTGAATGAAGCCACTTACCATTATGGGTCTATTTTGCTCTCAGTTGTCTGATCTTTTACTTAACTGTATTTCTTTCATTGTGGAACTTTTACTTGTAAAATACAATTTTTTGTGATGTATTTTTTATTTGTTTTTGGGGAAATGCTTCCTCCACTATTAACGGAGGCAAACAGATGAAACTGGACTGACTGAAACCTGATCCCTCTGCTGTTTTTTCCCCACTTCACAGCACAATGCCTGACCTGTCGTCAGTGTCCCATTGGCATCTTTGGAACATGCTTCCTATCAAAAGATGTCACTTGTACTAATACAAATCAGAGCTGCTTCAGAGGAGATGCACGTAAGGAAACTTTTTTTCCTCTATTGTGAAGATATTCAGACAGAGAAAGCTCAAAACTGAGGAAACACATGAGAAAAAACAGAAATACTTTCAGTCTTTGTTCGCATGACAAAGGTTGATTGAACAAAATCAAATATTTCAGGTGAAATTATTACATTAAAAATTTAGGGTTGCCTGTCAAATACTAAAGCTCAGTACAAAACAGAGATACATCTTTGTTTTTGTTTTTTTACATGGAGCTGCTGCACAGCCAAACAAAAAAAAAAA